AACAGAAACTGCTGTACGAGCATATACGGAAAAAACATGCTCCTTACCATAATGCCGATGATCTCACCTGTTCACGAGTTTTCATATCGAAAATCTCATAGAATTCACCAAATAAGCTCGGTACCGTGATGCAGTGGATGACCTTCCTTAGTTGCACGACTTTCTCTGTACGGTGAAACTGTAAACAAAGGATAACAAAAGCGCGCAAACGAATGCTTATCATGATGGCACGGAAGACATCCTTTTCATTGCATTTCGCTCGATGCACGGACAGTCCCTGTAGCATCGAGCCCGTCAAAAATTCCGCGTTTAACAGCTCACTCCTCGTTGGCTCGCACCTCCCGTTGGATGGACAGCAACTCGGGATCCTTGGCCCAACGCGCATCCGACACCACAGATCGAAAGGTCGGGTTTGCACGAAGCCAGCGGCTCCACTGTCTATTCACCCTGCATAGGTTGTACCACCCGCAAAGTGAGATCCAAGCCAGAATCACCTGGAAACAATGCAAGTCCAGTCGGGCCAACGCTGGAGCTGCCAACTTTGCGTCAAGCTTGGGAAGCCAGAATTGAGCCAGCATTTGTTTACCAACTCTGGAAGGGCGAGCAACAAGAGAGACCACAGAATTCCGCACCTCCGTCGCCGACGGCTTCAAGCCCCAACGACCGCCCCAATGTGGCTCGATCTCCACACGTTCCTCGAAAAGGCTCACCGCATCGGCAGCGCTCAGACCTACCCACGTCCGCAGTTCTGATAAGACCATCGCGAGTTCAGAACGGGATCAAATTGCAAGTGACGAAGTCTCACGGACAGGCCCTACAAAAACCTCGAGAACAGTTTCTTGAGCCCCGGGGGGCAGCGATGTTTTCAAGGTTGAAACTCAAAAAATGCCAAGAATTCGATCGGCCCGACTATTCTTTCAATCGAAATGATGACATTTTGACACTAACAGCACACAGTTGCTTCAAATTCTGACGGTCCTTCACATGAAAAAAACCATGATCCCAGTGCCACCTCAGCATTTCGCGTCGATCTGAGAAAACAAACACATGTTCCAGACGGCACGGAAAGAGCATACTTCAAGGAGGCGAAATTTCAGCGTCACGAAACCTTCAAGGTCCCGACTTAAAAATGGTGGCAGATCAGGATCGGCCCGCACAGGATCGAACCACGTTCAGAAATCTCAAAAAATCTCGAGAAATGCCAGAACCGTTGGGGTGTCTTGTCAAGCATGCCTACACTATTTGCTCATGCTGCATGGTATTTTGTTTCCCCATGCGTGACTCTTGTCTTGTCCATTTGCTCACATCTAAGACCAGGAATGATCAATTCACATCTATAGAGCAAAGAGGTCAACATGGTCTGAACGCGAAACAGTGAATTAGCATGGAGCAACGCAAAACATACTCTGTGAAGCTCGAGACTGGGATCGCGACTCCGGAGCTTGCGATAAGAAGACACCATCCTCTGGAGAACGACCTGCAAGCTCAAAACTCAGCTGCTGCTTCCCGAACAACGTCTATCAAAGAATGGCGAACATTCAAACAATACACATGCTATATATAAATACATCAACCGCACTGCGAAACCAGCATCAGATCAGTTTCATTGTCAAAAACCATGCGTTCCGATCATCACTTGTTTCACGAACATTCAGCGTACATATAGGAATAAGAATGTTCACTCTGTGCACAAAACAACAATCATCATGGACATGTCCACAAAAGAATTGATAACAAAACATTGAGTGCCAAACAGCAAGGAAGCAACACACCTGGAGCACATGAAAGTTCGGCATCACTAAACGTTAACCTTTTGACAACAGGACACAGCAAGTCGATCATACAACACAGCAAGGCGATAAACTTCACAGAGAAGTGTATTTCTCTTTTTCATCAAGGTAAATGTTCCGTGTAGAGATCCAGAGATGACAGTCAATGAATGTGCCGGCTGCCGACCCAAAAGTACCATGATGAGGTGTGCGCTGCCAATGGGCAGGTGCTTCGCATCAAAAAGGCAATGCCCTCTTGACCCAGAAGTACCATGACATCGGTCCCTCACACGATTCAACAGAGGATGTGTAAAGTGTTCCGCACTCTGATGAATGCGCCATAGCTCACCACCATCCAAATACAAACAAGCTTTAAGCCACACGACGATGCATCGAAGCACACGTGCAGCTGGTGTTTGAGTCACTCACCAAAACACCCGCTGCATGTATGCTTTGAGGATCTCGAGATTGCAGATTTTTGCCTCCACGAGCCTATACGAGTGACCATTCCCTGACAAAGCACACCTGCAGCTGGTGTTTATGTCCGGAGAAAATTGAGGTGTGACTTGGACGGAAGAAGATCTCGGATCTCGAGATAACATGGAGAAAGCCTTCTAAAAGAGCGGCATCCCAACTGTGATCCTCAAAGCATACATGCAGCTGGTGTTTGGTCTCTAGAAGCTGGATCTTCTAGAGACCAGACACCAGCTGCATGTATGCTTTGAGGATCACAGTTGGGATGCCGCTCTTTTGGAAAGCTTTCTCCATGTCATCTCCAGATCGCAGATCTTGGCCTCCACGAGCCTATACGAGCGAAGTGCCTCCAACGACATGGCGGCACACTTGAAAAGAGAAAGGCTATGTCTCAAATTTCCAATGACTACATGTTGGAGAACATCATCGGGCAGTTTCAAATCTTGAGATCTCACGGACGGTCCCTTCAAAAATTTCGAAAAATGCCACAACTGTTGGGGGTGTCTTGTCAAGCATGCCTACACTGTTTGCTCATGCCGCATGGTATTTTGTTTCCCCATGCGTCACTCTTGTCTTGTCCATTTCCTGCCATCTGAGCCCCGGAATGTTTGATTCACATCTATGGAGCAAAAAGGTCAACAAGGTCTGCACGTGAAACAATGAATTCCCATGGAGCAACACAAAGCATACTCGCTGAAGCTCGAGACTGGGATCGCGACTCCGAAGCTTGCAATAAGAAAGCACCATCCTCTGGCGAATGACCTACAAGCTCAAGACTCAACTGCTGCTTCACGAACAACGTCTATCAAAGAATGGCGAACATCCAAACAATACACATGCTATATATAAATACATCAAGTCTTGTCCATTTCCTGCCATCTGAGCCCAGGAATGTTTGATTCACATCTATGGAGCAAAGAGGTCAACAAGGTCTGCACGTGAAACAATGAATTCCCATGGAGCAACCCAAAGCATACTCGCTGAAGCTCGAAACTGGGATCGCGACTCCGGAGCTTGCGATAAGAAAGCACCATCATCTGGCGAATGACATACAAGCTCAAGACTCAACTGCTGCTTCACGAACAACGTCTATCAAAGAATGGCGAACATCCAAACAATACACATGCTATATATAAATACATCAACTGCACTGCGAAACCAGCATCAGGTCAGTTTCATTGTCAACACGACACAGCAAGTCGATCATCAGTCAACTTCACAGCGAAGTGCATTTCTCTTTTTCATCAAAGTAAAGGTTGCGTGCAGAGATCCAGAGATGACAGTCAACGAACGTGCCGGCTCCAGTGTTGGTCTAATGTCAGTTTTACGGGATGCCTTTGAAGTCAGGTAGATGTTTTACATGTTCTAACTCTAACTTCATGACGCAACGCCTGCTCCCCGCTCGGACAGTCCCTACTGCGAGAAACATACGTCAGGTCATGTTTTACATCTTCTAACTCTAATTTCATGATACAATGCCTGCTCCCCGCTCGGACAGTCCCTACCGCGAGAAACATACGTTGGATCATGTTTTACATCTTCTAGAGACCAGACACCAGCTGCATGTATGCTTTGAGGATCACAGTTGGGATGCCGCTCTTTTGGAAGGCTTTCTCCATGTCATCTCCAGATCGCAGATCTTGGCCTCCACGAGCCTATACGAGCGAAGTGCCTCCAACGACATGGCGGCACACTTGAAAAGAGAAAGGCTATGTCTCAAATTTCCAATGACTACATGTTGGAGAACATCATCGGGCAGTTTCAAATCTTGAGATCTCATGGACAGTCCCTTCAGAAATCTCGAGAAATGCAACAACCGTTGGGGGTGTCTTGTCAAGCATGCCTACACTATTTGCTCATGCTGCATGGTATTTTGTTTCCCCATGCGTGACTCTTGTCTTGTCCATTTCCTGCCATCTGAGCCCAGGAATGTTTGATTCACATCTATGGAGCAAAGAGGTCAACAAGGTCTGCACGTGAAACAATGAATTCCCATGGAGCAACACAAAGCATACTCGCTGAAGCTCGAGACTGGGATCGCGACTCCGAAGCTTGCGATAAGAAAGCACCATCCTCTGGCGAATGACCTACAAGCTCAAGACTCAACTGCTGCTTCACGAACAACGTCTATCAAAGAATGGCGAACATCCAAACAATACACATGCTATATATAAATACATCAACTGCACTGCGAAACCAGCATCAGGTCAGTTTCATTGTCAACACGACACAGCAAGTCGATCATCAGTCAACTTCACAGCGAAGTGCATTTCTCTTTTTCATCAAAGTAAAGGTTGCGTGCAGAGATCCAGAGATGACAGTCAACGAACGTGCCGGCTCCAGTGTTTGTCTAATGTCAGTTTTACGGGATGCCTTTGAAGTCAGGTAGATGTTTTACATGTTCTAACTCTAACTTCATGACGCAACGCCTGCTCCCCGCTCGGACAGTCCCTACTGTGAGAAACATACGTCAGGTCATGTTTTACATCTTCTAACTCTAATTTCATGATACAATGCCTGCTCCCCGCTCGGACAGTCCCTACCGCGAGAAACATACGTTGGGTCATGTTTTACATCTTCTAACTCTAATTTCATGACGCAACGCCTGCTCCCCGCTCGGACAGTCCCTACCGCGAGAAACATACGTCAGGTCGCAGTGTAGTATACCGTCGAAATAAGATGACCATGTCGAACAAAGACATCCGGTAAATCTAAACAATGCTACATGGCAGCTGACGAAGCTCCCCGCCAGCAATGCTAAGCAAACAGATCAGCAGACATTTCATCTGCAGACAAATGCTGTGACACCCAAGGGATGCACTGCCATGAAAGTCTATGCACATACTTCAAGGCCTTCCGCTCGTCCACGCAGGCCTGACCTTCAAACTCCCGCATCCGCTGCACCAAAAGAGGATTGTGTTCGTGCAGAAACTTTTCGAACACATTGCGAGGCAGCAAATCCACTATCCACAGATCTTCCAGCTTGGTTGGCCTTGACAACATCACGTACATAGCCAAGCCATAGTCCGCTTGACTCATCCAGGACGGTTTGGACATGAAAGCAAGCAGCCCTTGTCTGGCAGTGATGCCCTGCAAACCGTAGTGCGTGAGAACGTGACGAGGTGCCAGTGGCAACTGTTTGCGATGAACCTGCATAAATTGATTGCCCCCAAGAGGAAGATCCCAGGCCTGATCACATGTAATGGGACGCAGCCAAACGTGTCCCTTCGGAGCATTGCCATCTGGCAATTCAATGGCACGATATTCCGGGTCATCGATCTCCACCAAGACGGCCAACGGCTGATATTGCAAAACGACACGTCCACTGCTGTTTGAAATTACAGGTTCCTTCGGGTGCAACTTAATGGAGCGAACAATGACCGGCAACTCTCGACTCAGCATCGGCATGTCCAAAATGCAACTAACACGTGCTGCCATCCCTTCATACAAAGGGCAAATGCCCATGAGATACTGCGTTCTTGTCATGTTCACAACCTGCAATGCCTTCAGGCTCTGCTCCCTTGTCAAATCTGCGGGCCCCGATGCACGATCAATAGCTTGCACCAAGAAAAGAGTCGTGGATCTCTGTTGAGCTTCCCAAGCCACCCGCAAATGCTGTAAACGAGCAACCTGTTCCCACGCCAGGCCGCCCCAGTGAGCACTCAACAACCTTGAGCGCAAGGAATTGTCAGAAAAAAGTTGCTCTCGGCTGATCACTCGAGATTCCAAAGCTTCCCACAATGCATCCTCCAGATGTTCGCCTCGCCGCATGGACAAAAGAATCCTCACAAGCTGCTGTCCGGATGCACACTTCGAAAAACGACCGGATCCAGTGAAGTGCACAACTCGCTGGAGCGATTGCTTGAACGCGATCCGTCCAAGTTCTGAGGCATTGCTGGTGCGTTCAGCCGCCTCCTTCTCCACGGCCTCTTCGGCATCGCTTTGGTCTTCTTGGTCTTGAGGCGGTGCAGGATCAGTAGCTCGTGGCGCATCCACCCATTCGCACAAGGATGCTTGCGCAGTGGGTCGCAATTGTAGAAAGTCAGCAACTTGCACACCAATGGGCACCTTCCCAAACCACTGCTTCAAGTAGTCGCCCATGTCAAGCATAAGTCGAGCTTGTCGAACAGTGGCAAATCGAAGCGAAGCAGCATGGTACACATCCGAAGGAACCATCGACAACTCGTCCAACAGCATAGCCATGATGCCTTCGATCTTCTTTTCGATCGGGCTGCCCTTGCTCTTCGCCGAACGCAAGGAGCGGCGATCCAAGCTGCTGCTCTTGTGCACATTGGCCCACTTGTGCAAAGTTTTGGCCTCAGGCCCCAGGAGGCGAACAGCAGCGTGAGTCGGAGCACCAGCAACATAACCATCCTGTCCAAAGAAGCGTCGAAAGAGTGGCCTCAATACTTTGCTGTATGCATACGTCTTTCCAGATCCACCAGCTCCGAGCCAAAGACAATTGCACCTTTCATTGCACGCACCATCCGCAATGCAATTGTCCGGATTGCTTCGGTTAAGCCACATCTGTTCCATGACCCAAGCAATGGGCGCAATGGCCAAAATCTGTTGGCGATTCAGACTGTGCTCCACAAGCAAGGCAGAAGCATAATCACTCGGACCCACATTCCTCTGGTTCAGCTCCACCAAAAAGGCATCTTCCGTCTCTGGCAAAGGCCGAAAAACATGATCTGCCATCATCTCAGTATCCTCTTCACCACCTGCTGCATGAAGACCCACCAACGAGAACACAACAAGCAAACAAAATTCCCCCCCCCCCGAAAAAAAAACAACAGAACTGACATATTCAGCAAATCAGCTATATGTTACAACGACAAAAAAGAAAAACAAAACAAAACTCATCCACAACCACAAAGCTCCGCCTCCAACGCAAAATTCCAAATATTGCTTCTGCAGCATCAAAGACCTCTGGGCTTCGGCGAACGTCCAATTACGCTCCAATCCACTGGCTGCGTTGCCTTTGATTCCCAAATCAATCCTCGCATCCGGAACACCTCCCAAACCATTCACAAAGTCACGCAAACGCTGCAACGCATCCTGCAGCACCGCAGCTACATGATTGTTTGTCGGTAACATATGTTCTCGTCAACAAGGCCATATCACAAAAGCTCGGTACCACATACTGGTGATCATGGAACGTATCATATCCTTTTAGTAGACATTTTCCACACGGATGACTACTTACAGCTTGCTAGCATGATGCAGCAAACAACGCATGTTGCAACACAAGGCATATCATGCTTTATTCGGCACATCTCACACCCGCTGAAAGATGAATCATCAACAACGTTACACAACAACAGCTTAGTACCATGATGCTGCGAAAAACATATATCATTTCCTTTTATCAGGGAAATTCCCACGAACATCGCCCAAAAAGCTCGATACCATGTCCTGCAATACAGATGGCTTTCGATTGCCCAACACCTTCATCCAATCCTCTTCCCGAAACATAGCTTCGTGCAATGCTTCTCCATCCACCGGCCACTGCGCACGTTCCAAGTTGTCCAACTCTTCTTGCAATAGCAGATCATCCTCGACCTCGTGTCCTTCTATAACCGGCGGTGCCGAATCATCTTCCAGGTCCTCCTCCTTGTCCAAAGCAGTCATCAAAGCATAACGCTCAGCTGTCCGACGACTGCTGCTGAGACGACGTGCAGCACAGTGCTGCTGGAAACGCTCCAACCACGATGTCTGAATATAGGCCAAGAACTCTTGCGATGTCAACTGAGTGTAATGAAACGGAACGGACAAGTCTGCGAACCAGGCAACGCGCTCACAGATGCGCAGCATGTCATGATAGCGACAATCCGCTCCTTCTGCTCCACCGAACAGCTTCTCCAAACATCTAAAAGCACTGCTGGTGTCACCAATGCCAGCAACATAGGAACGCACTGATGCAACATCCCGGATGACCGGAGCAGACAAACCGGCCAAAACTCTTTCCTCCGCCAAACACCTCCTCATTGACATGTAACTTTTCCAGTGCTTCCAATGCAGCGTAAAACGAGCAAAAAGAACGCCTTGCTTTGCATCTTCTTCCATGGTGTGGCAAGCAAAGCATCGATGTGACAAACTGCAATCTCCAGAACACGTTGGGAATGGAAAAGATAATCCCAACATGTGAGCTGCGTACTTCTGCACCTCAGCATCCTTCGGAAGGTGCAAATCTGAAGGCACCACAACACTGTCATCTGCTGCTCTCACTTCCTGCGAATTTGATTTCAGCTCAACACAGAAATAAACAACTTCACCCGAACTTGTTAACACTTTCCAAATATCAAACTTAAAGACACCAAACAAAGTAAGAACAAAAAAAAACAGAACCACCCACCGCAAGCAATCCTGAACGGAGGAACTGAAGTGGGCATAGTGCTCATCAAAGTCGAAAAACTTCACTCCATCCACCTTGCCGGCTTTGTTCCTCGAAACTCTGCGAACGAAGCGAGAATACATCAAAAGAGACATGCATTGCAACAAAACCGAAGAGCCCCTGTGCAAGTAATCGTCTTTCTGGTTGAAGTTCACATGCACCTGCTGGACTCTGGGCACATCACCTCCCTCATCAACAACCTCCGCAAACTCATCCACCACCACTGGTGCCTCTCCTTCGGGGTCAGGAAGCACATCCAAGGGCGAGCCATTGAGATGCGGCCTAGCTTGCAAAACCTCCTCCATGTCCTCATGTCTGCAACGCATGATTGCATACGGCACATAGCGGAAGAACATGTTGTAGCCACGATACGTCACCAGTTGCTCCTGCTCGAATAACATCTGATACGCCATTTCACCGTTGGATTTGGCCACACAACGATTCATTCCAAAGGCAAGTCTTCTCAAAATCGTCAATGCACGCCTCTGTTGCCCTGTCATAGTAGGGTCCCTGTCCCCCTCCAGGGGCTCCTGCTCGGAGGCCGCTGCAGCTTCCTTTGCCCTTTCCCTTTCCTCCTCTTCCAATCGCTGCACTCCTTCAATGTTGCCGTTTACTGAGAACCAAATTAAGGCACACACCAAAAAATAATCTATACCATCTCATTTCATTGTAGGAATTCCCATACAAATCCTCAAAAAAGGAGTCGGTATCGTGATGTTCCAAATCAGATATGTTACATTACTTTACTAAGGACATTTGCACAAAATACTGCAAAACAAAGTCGGTAAGAAAAAATATCGTCAAAAATTTCCGTTTCGACCGCCCCGAAGCAAACAGTCCTGCATACAATTCAGGTAACATACTCCGCGAAATTTCAAACTTCTTTGCAGCATACTCACCAGTGTAAAAACCAACATTCATCATATCTCTTGCAAGGTCCACCAGAATGCGATCAAGCGCCTTTCTCATCGTCTGCATCTTCTTATGCTCCGTGTCCAAAACACGACCCATGCATTGCTTCTTCGGCGGCGGATCCGAAGCATCCAACTCAGTCGACACAGGTTGCTCTGCATGTGAGGCATCAGCACCCGATATAGCATCCGAAGACGAACCAAACGCCGGGCGTTGAAGTTCCATCTCCTGCAATCCACTCCCGGACAGTTCCAACAGAGAAGATGCAGAAGCAGGAACTTCGACTCCAGGCTCCTGGTCTATGCTCCCATCACAAAACTTCAAAAGGTCTGCTTCTGAAAAATTGCGTCCAATGTACTTGACATCCACATTGCATCGCATCACTGCTTGCGCCACCGGGTTCGACATCCCTTCAAAAGGGTGATCACGCCGAGCTTGAAACACATGCGGGTTTTCGTTTTTGAACTCTTCAACCTCCTTCAAATCTACCGTCTCATATTGCAACCGAGAAAAACCTGCTTTCGCAACTCGAGGCCAACCTTTCCGACATAACACTTTCGGCTTGTCCTCCTTGCCCAGAATCATTTCAACGTGAAAGCAACCAAAGCGACACCCACGTTTGCCTTTCACGGCTTTCCTCAGCCAAAGCAACACGTTGACAGCCAACTATGCACGTTGTACACTCCAGACGTCTCTTTTGCATTCTACACAAAAATGTTTTACGCAAACTGATACCGTAACAGCAACCGTGCAACATGTAAACGAACAACAAAAGCCATGACCAAGCCGAAACCGCACGTAACTCAAAAATAACGACAACAAACAACCACACCCACAACCACAACCACAACCAAAACAACAACCACGACAACAACAACAACAACAACAACAACAACAACAACCACCACAACTTTGCCAAGCTCATTGCGAGGAACTTTTTGAAACATGATTTCGTGCATTTGTGAAAATGATTCTGGATCACCAAACGTCTGTAATCCTCACAGAATTTTTTCTTCCACTCAAGACCATCTCCCGCAGAACGTTCACAGCGTCGCAGATACTTGGGTCGCAAAGAAGCATAGCATCCGGTCAATGTCAAAACCTTGCCAGCCACGGATCCGCCCAACTTCAAGGCTTCCAATTCGTGTCCATCCGGCTCCGTAGGCACCAAAGGCGCGGATTCATACTGGTGACCACATTCTGATCGCTGACGTTCATTCAGAGGCAGTGGCTGTGTCGGACTGCTCAACTGCTCCAACAAGGCCAATTGAGAATCATACTGAAAACGCTGCACAGCCTCCAAAACACGACGACTCCACCGCTGCAACTCAACGACCAACTCACCATGCTGCACCCGATGAATCAGTTTCCGCAAGCGATCTCCCAGGTCGTGTCCCAGCAAGATAATAAGCATGTGGGGGTGCAAAGAACCACGACCCTGAGTCTCCAACGGGCCGTTCAACGCCACAATATCACCGAAAACACCTCCTTGCAGGGAACTCGCAATGCCATCTTCGAAGGTTGCTGCCACGCCAACCCGAAAACTTCCCTTGGTCAAAGGTGGAAGAATGCCCAACACTTCCTCACAGAACAAATCCATCATCAAGGCAAAGCAACGCGCTTGAGCGACGGGATCGCTCGCGACAATCCGTCGCATAGCAGCTGCGCTGGGCAATTCGGGCATCTCCGCCTCCCAGTCCAAATCAATTTTGCACTCTTCCACTTTGACATTCTGCAGGTGCAATTGAAGTAGCAAGGACGAGCGCATATCTGCGATGTTGGGAGTGACGAACAGATGCGCAGAACCATAATGCCACCCAGCCGCATGTCCACGCAACCGGATCTGGCTGCGGTGCCCTTCCATGCCAATGATGCTCGAAGTTGCCTGAAGCACTCCTCCCAATGCTCGCTTCAAGGCCACATCCACCTGCGGATCTCGCAGCAACTCCCTGAGGTCCGCATTGTCTCCATGCAATGCCATTGCCTTGAGCAATTGGTCCGTGTTGACTTCAGAAATAACACGACAATGTTTGCCAAAGCCACGACGCATCACATGCGCTTTCGTCGCACGCATCAACTGTAATCGACGCTGCACGTCGTACATCACTGGAAGCAACGTCTCCTGCCCGCATACTTGGAACAAAGGCGACCAAACTCAAAAACTGAAACCACCAAAACACAACCACCAAACCATCCTGGGGAAACAGAAAACTCAGCAACAATTGAATAAACCAAATCCAAAGCACTGAAAGCGACCATCTTGGCAACAAGGCATCACCCTCACTGTAATGCAGTTCTTCCCGAAGCAACAAATATCGAAACACTTCTGTTGCATCCATGTTGGCTTCACGCTTCAAAAAAGGCAAGCCATCACCCCATGGAAACAAATCCGGAAACGACATGCCCCAGGTGGCCGGATCAAACATCGACAGCGGTTCGTCTCTGGTCGGAACAACCAACTTGGAAGGTTTGACTTGGAACATAGCTGATTCCACATTGCGCTCATTTTCAGCCGTGCCACGGGCAATCTTCTGAATTCTCCGAATTTTTTGAAGTGTTCGCCTCTCTTGGGCTCCTTCACGACCCAAAAGTTCACCAGGAACAGATGCATCCGGGGCCGGCATTTCATTGTTGATGCGGTTGCGAAGCACATCGGCAGCATCGCTCCTTCGCCGCCCACCCTGTCTCACACAGACCTCCTCCACATCCTTCAACACACGCACCCACTTGTTCTGTTCATCCGCACCATCGTTCAAGCCAACAATGGAAGACATCAAATGACCTGCAATGTTTGCGTGAGTGAGTTTTCCATATTTACTTTCACACACACAAAACAAAATGGTTCCGAAACGCAGACGTTACAAAGCAAAACTCGATATTAACATCGTTTTCGATCGCTTCATTCGGACAGTCCCTACATGAAGCAATGAATACAACCAAATTCACTTCGGAACCCTGCCTGGTGCATCTAGGCCTTCACGCTGCTTCATTCGGACAGTCCCTACCATGAAGCAATCACCTGCACCTGCAATGTGTGCGCGAGTTTTCCATATTTACTTTCTGCCACACAAAACAAAATGGTTCCGAAAGGCAGACGTTACAAAGCAAAACTCGATATTAACATCGTTTTCGATCGCTTCATTCGGACAGTCCCTACCATGAAGCAATCAATAAAACCAAATTCAATTCAGAACCCTGCCTGGTGCATCTAGGCCTTCACGCTTTTCTTCACTCGCATCGTCCATCTTCTCATCATCCGACGCGTCTTGTCCCTGTGCGTCTGCAGGACCTCGCTGCAGCAACTCCTGCGCCAATGCAGAATCCTCCGCAGTTTCCAGGACACAGCCCTCCAAAAGATCATCACTGCCATCTCCCAGTTCCACCTCCGCATAGAAAGGATTCGTTTTCCTCAAACATTCAACAGCGGCAGTGTACTCATCTCTCGGGGCACGCAACAAAGAAGAGCCCTTGACTGCATCCTTCTGGCTTCCAACCAAAACAAACAAAACTGCATCTTGCATATCAACATCTTTTGGAGGGAGCGTGGTCAGCACTGAAGACGGCTTCGCTTGCGGGAGAAAAATCGAATTCCCTACAAAGCCATGCTGACGTTCCTCACGCGACAAATGCCCGGGCTGCAATACCACAACCTGCATGCACGCCCGTGTCATCGGCAAAAGTCGCTTCGTGGCCGAGGCCAGGCCACGCAATGCGGACAGTTGCTCGCCCATCCAAAGGTCATTGGCCAAGCTGTGCCGAGGCAACGTCAGACTAGATGACATCAACGAGCCCTTGCAGTCACTGCACACCAGGCAAGGATCCTGCAATTGCAGTGACATCCGAACATACTACTAGAACTTCACCCAAACAAAGTCGAGTAATCCGATGCCGTGAACAGAAAATTAGCTACAAACAAGTTGGTATACCGTGATCCCTCAATGAAAGCAACAAACCCGTGCAGTCTCCCAAACAAAGTCGAGTAATCCGATGCCGTGAACAGAAAATTAGCTACAAACAAGTTGGTATACCGTGATCCCGCAATGAAAGCAACAAACCCGTGCAGTCAGTGGTAAGGGTCCTTCAAGTCCACCGGCATCCGACGCTTGTGTAAGAGCAAATGCTCCCCCTTGCAGTATGGATGTTCAACAGCCGAAGCATGCAGAGCCTCCAAAGGGATATTCGGCCATCTTCGACTGTATCTTTCAACTCCAAGAATTCGACACAAGCGTTCCTGTTGACCACACGGAATCACATCCACCGCACCGTTCTCCAACTCGGTGCTGCCAGCCGGATCTTGGAATAAGATTAACATCTTCAGCTGCTCCCACCAAAACCTGCGAGCACACACCACGCATGCAGTTTCAAAGCGACCTCCTTGCTCGGGCTGTCGAAGCCTTTCATCAGCATTCTCCATGAGGCGACGTTGCGAAGCAAAGCTGGTGACCTGATGCATCACGTCATCAAAACATCATCAGCAAATTTCACTACCATGATATCTCGCATCAAACATGTTACACTACCCTACTCCGATCGTGCTAACAGAAATACAAAACGCAAAAAACTCAGTACCACGACGCCGTGAATTAAAACTATTCACCCCGTTTATGATACAAATTCCACACAAATAGCTACAAAAAGCTCAGTACCCCGATCCCACAAAAGGTCAGCGCAGACAAGAAACTGTGGGGCCCAGGTGTGTCAATAGTCCAATGACCTTCTTACGATACTCGATGAGCACACGGCTGGCATCGGCACCTCCACTGTGTTTCTCCACTAAATGTTCCAAAAACTCTTTCTGTCCGCCAGTTCCAAAATTGCACAGTCTGCACTGGTAACGCTCCAGCGGATTCTGAACATCATCATCATCATCATAAGACCATAACACAAGGCCAGACAGCGCTTCACCAATAGCAGTGATAGCTGGACTGCAGTCCAACATCTGCGCAACTTCACGCAGCTTGATCTCAAACTTCATATTCACATTTTCCAACACAGCAAATGCTTTCTTGGCAACTTGCAAATTCTCTGGCAAGGCCTCCATAGCAATGCCCGCAGCAACATCCATCTCCACATCTGCCTCCTCAGCAACTTCCACACAGGAAGAGCCAGTGCTGTCAGGAACAACTGCATTACCATCCCCTTCCACATCCACCTCCGGAACACATTCCACAACAGAAGTGCCAGCGCCGAAAAGGATGGCACTCAATGGCACAAAAGCGGCCTTGCAAAGAGTTCCTTCAGTCCACCCAGGAATCGACTGCATCAAGTTCCGTTCCGTGTCGGATCTCCATTTGATACCATTCTCTGCATCATCCGAAGCTTCCAAACAATCCAACTTCAACTCCTTGATGTTGTCCACATCGCCAGGGAATGCAGCTTTCATGGAACGACAGCGCACCTTCTTCTCCTTCTCCAAATACTCCGACACCCGCTTGAACAGCACACCGTCTTCATCTGAAGTCGGCAACCGCAAGCACTGCTGCACTTCCTGCCATTGTCGTATATCCAGTTCCAATTGAACGACAACCGGAGACACGCCGCTCCTGCACACACGATGTCATAATCAGTATGCAATTCCTCGAGATCTCACGGACAGCCCCTACAGAAACCTCGAGAAGATATCTCTGATGATCTCGAGATATATTGGCTACCATGATCACGCGCATGATGTATAAATAACATACGTTATCTCATTCATCGCGCAAACAAAAAAAAGCTCGGTACCATTATGCTTTACATGAGCAATTCTGGAGATCTCACGGACAGCCCCTACAGAGACCTCAAGAGATGCAACAAATGTTGAAGATATTTGTTTGTCGCTCCTTGGTATTTCAAAAACATGATGCCATCTATGACATATGTCATGTCATTTTATTAAGAACATTTCCCCATAAATGGGACAAAACAGCTCGGCATCATGATGCCGTCTATAACACATGATAATTCATTTTCTCATGCAAATACCCACAAAGGTGACAAAGGTAAGAAAACTTCACAAAACACACAACTACGACACGCACTCGTCCTGGAATCACGGAGTTCTGCGACCGTCACTGGATCGTGACGTGAGCGCATAGCTTGCAATGCAGGCGTCTGGCGAGGATGAAGTAACTGCGTCAGCAAAAGCCAAGCAAACTGTAAACACTTCTTGTTCCCATAGCGAGCAGATGGAAAACATTCGGACCAATAGCACACCTCCACGTCCTGGTCAAATCTTTCCCAACCATATCTCCGCATCAGGCATCGCAGGTACGTCGCGTCTGCAGCATCCAGCTTACCTCGACGCCGGCACACCTCGCCCTCATCATCCACCACCAACGCTTTCGTGCCCCACAGGATGCCAAGGACCACCTGCAAGCAACACAAAGACCAAACAACCGCGAACCGGCAAGACACGACAAAAAAAACTAACGCAGGCCATACAATAGTTTCGACAACCACTCACCTCCACCACATTGTCACGATCCTCATAACCACCAGAACTGTCCCATTCACAGGCAGCTGTAAGTGTGTGGACATCCCACAAACGGCTCGCCACTTGCAACATGTCCGCGTCGATGGTGAACCCCACCAAACGACACCATTGAAGTCGTCTTTCTTCCGATACACTCAGCAAAACACAGGACAACAATGCCACGACCTGATGCCGCAGCAAATGCTCCATGCCAATGGAGGCGAAGTAACCTGGTAAATCTAATAAATCAACAGAATCCGTGACAGCTTTGCTGGGCCACGATTGCTGCACTTCATCGAAAGTAGCAAGAAGCGGCAACGTCGCATCCACCACACGAGCATCCAAAGAAGCAAGCGAAAGATGCAATCCCTCCACCTGACCCATGGTCTTGTCGGCCAAAACCGCTAAAATACGCATGCGATCTTTTTGTTCTGGAACAGCATCTCGAAGCAATGTAGTATCAGGCGCCGAAGGACTTTCCAAACATCGTTTCAGCCAGCCCCACAAGACACTTGCACCAGATGCAAGGGTATCATCGTGACACGGCTCCTGCTAAAAAAAAAATATAAAAAAAAAACAGCCGCACTTGACGTTTTTGCAATGCCGACAGTCTACAATTCAATTCTCGAGATGTCACAAACAGCTCCCACAGAAACTTCAAGATGTCGTTTTTTAATTACACCCAACCTCCATGGAAGTCGCCAAGACTTTCTTCAACGAATTACGCAGCTCTGCTACAGGCAGCCAAGCGTTGCCCGATCGTGTCTCCACACCAGCCGCAGTAGCCAGGACTCGAAGCTCGTCTCTTCCTATTCCGTACAAAGCACGACTGAGCCACTCCTCCCCCTCTGAAACAGCTCCAAGGTGAAGTTCTTCCAATTTGGCAGCCGATGCTTCTTCCACCTACAGCATGGAACACACCGCCACCACAAAACAACCATCACCCTACAAATTTTTCCCGCTGCTCATGCATATCAATGAAAACATAACACATAGATCCACTACATCACAAACGAAAATTAGCATGACCACTATGCAATTCTCAAGATCTCACGGACAGCCCCTACAGAGACCTAAAGAGATGCAACAAATGTTGAAGATATTTGTTTGTCGATCCCTGGTATTGCACAAACATGATGCCATGTCTCACAAACATGCGAATTCGGTCACAAAAACAACTCATGTCACAACACATTTTTTGGTTGAACCCAACCTCCGTGGAGGGTTCCAAGACTTTCATCAACGAGTTGCGCAGCTCTGCTACAGGCAGCCAATTCCCGTCAGACTTCGTCTTCGCACCACCCGCAGCAGCCAGAACTCGAAGCTGACGAGCTGACATTTCCGACAAAGAACGACTGAGCCACTCCTTGCCCTGTGAAACAGCCCCAAGGCGAAGTTCTTCCAATTTGGCAGCCGATGCCTCTTCCACCTGCGGCATCCGACACACTGCCACCACAAAACCGCCATCATTCTACAACATCGCACCATGTGACAAAGATTCAAATTCGGTCACAAAAACAACTCATGTCACAACACATGTTTTGGTTGAACCCA